TCCCGGGAACCGCTGCGGGGGTGTGGGAGGTTGACCCTGGCTGGAGGCCAGGTGCCCACCAAAGCCATTCTATTGCTGCCTGCCTCAGCTGGACAGGGGAGAGAAAAATATAACAAAGGGCTCGTGGGTCGGGATAAAGACAGGGAGAGATCACTCAACCAATTACTGTCACGGGCAAAACAGACTCGACTTAGGGAAAATTAAATTAATTTATTGCCAATCACATCAGAGTAGGATAATGAGAAATAAACCCAAATCTCAAAACACCTTCCCCCCCACCCCTCCCTTCTTCCCAGGCACAGCTTCGCTCCTGGATTCTCTATCTACCCCCCACCAGCAGCGCAGGGGGACAGGGAATGGGGTTTATGGTCAATTCATCACACGTTATCTCTGCTGCTTCATCCTCTTCAGGGGCAGGACTCCTCACCCCTGCTCCAGCATGGGGTCCCTCCCACAGGAGACAGTCCTCCACGAACTTCTCCAATGTGGGTCCTTCCCATGGGCTACAGTTCTTCAGGAGCACACTGCTCCAGTGTGGGTCCCCCACGGGGTCACAAGTCCTGCCAGAAAACCTGCTCCGTGGGCTCCTCTCTCCACAGATCCGCAGGTCCTGCCAGGAACCTGCTCCAGCGTGGGCTTCCCACGGGGTCACAGCCTCCTTTGGGAACCCACCTGCTCCAGCATGGGGTCCTCCCCGGGCTGCAGGTGGATATCTGCTCCACCGTGGACCTCCCTGGGCTGCAGGGGGACAGCCTGCCTCACCATGGTCTTCCCCACGGGCTGCAGGGGAATCTCTGCTCTGGCGCCTGGAGCATCTCCTCCCCCTGCTTCTTCATGACCTTGGTGTCTGCAGGGTTGTTTCTCTCACATGTTCTCACTCCTCTCTCCAGCTGCAGTTTCTGTGTGCCCTGCAACTTTTTCCCTTCTTAAATCTGTTATCCTAGAGGCGCTACCACTGTCACTGATTGGCTCGGCCTTGGCCAGCAGTGGGTCCATCCTAGAGCCGGTTGGCATTAGCTCCACAGGACACAGGGGAAGCTTCCAGCAGCTTCTCACTGAAGCCACCCCTGTAACCCCCTGCTACCAAACCCTTGCCACACAAAGCCAGTACGGGGGGGTAACAACTTGGGGTGGTTCCTCCAGGCAGCTTCATGAAAGCCTGTGCGATACTGGGGGGGGGGGCAAAAGGCAGGTTGATGCCGGCACCAAACGAAAAGGCTAACGAAGACCCCGAACTCAGATGGCAGCTGCTGCCTGCCCACAGTCCCCGTGCTCCCTGCTGCTGTTCCCGGGGGGGGGGGGGGGTGTGGAAACGGGACGGACACACGGACACCGTCGGAGGGGGATAGCCCAGGGCAGGCAGCTGCCAAGGGGACGGGACCCGCGGGAGGAAAGATGCCGTTCGCGGGCACCAGGCGGAGCTGGTGCCTCGGGGACGGGCGCCCTGGCCCCCCCGGCCGCGCGGGGCGCCC